TGTTCAAATTTTTAGCTCCCACAAAGATTCTTATGAGTTTCTCCACTGGTTTGGAATTATGTGCCTAAAAGGCAAGGGACTGATCTAAATTCAGTGACTCTTAACGATTACATTTCTTTCTGCAAATTAAAATGTTGGGCATTTTGGTTTTACATATCAGTTTCTGTGCCGTTAGTTAATGTGTGGTATGCTGAGAGTCAAATGACAATTGTGTCCAAAGGACCTTAAATAGAGTGCCATGTATACAGCTAGCTGAGACCAGAGTCACAGGCAGTGAAAGAATTCACCAAGACAGTTGTGAATTAAGAAAGGCAGATTTAGGCTGGGCGTGGTGGCTAACGCCTATAATCCCAGCACTTTGAAAGGCCGAGGTGAGAGAATCGCCTGAGCCCGTGGGTTTGAGACCAGCCTGGGCAACTTGGCAGACCTCATCTCTACAATAAATCAAAAAATTAGCTGGGTGTAGTGGCATGTGCCAGTGGTTCCAGATACTTGGAAAGCTGAGGGAGAAGAATCGCCTGAGCCTAGCGGGTAGAGGCTGTGGTGGCTAGGAGCGTGCCACTGCACTCCAGCCTGGGCGACAGAGTGAGACTCTGACTCAAAAAAGAAAGGCAGATTTATTAAAGGCAAGATACATTGCAAGCCGGGCTCGGAGGCTCAGCATGTAATCCCGCGCCTTGGGAGGTTGAGGTGAGTGGATTGCCTGAGCCCGCGGATTCAAGACCCGCCTGGGCAACTTGGCAAGACCTCATCTCTACAATAAATAATTTTAAAAAAATTAGCCGGGCATGGTAGCACGCGCCTGTAATTCCAGCTACTTGGAAGGCTGAGGTGGAAGGATCACCGGAGCCCAGCAGGTAGAGGATGCAATGGCTGGGAGTGGCCACTGCACTCTAGTCTGGGCAATAGAGTGAGACTCCAACTCAAAAAAAAAAAAAAATACATTGCAAGGAAGTAACAGGCAGTGTAGCAATGGGAAGGCTGTCTGCTATCTGCCAAGAGGCAGGAACTAGAAGGAAGTTTTATAGGACTATGCTGGGGAGTTAACATGACGCACAAGGGGTCTGGAGAGGGAAGTTAGCTATGTGCTGTTCAAGGGGTCTGGAGGACGGTTGATTGATTGTGGTGATCTGTTCCTTAAGACAGGGTCAATTTACAGCAATGGTTAACTGCTTTTTGTAACATTTACAGTAGTCACCCGAACTTTAGTTTACAACAATGATTTACAGCAGTCAGCAAGCTTTTTGAACTCTTACTATGGTCAGTAAGTTTCTTGCAACATCTGTAAATCTCACTCTTGAGATTTCTTTCCTCAGTTTAATTTATCCACTTGTTGCTGCCTATTGGGGCCTTATATTTTTCCACGTGGAGGTCACCTAATCCAATCTAAGAATCCCCTCTATATCTCTGACATTGGTTTAATCTGGTTAGCTTCTACCATGCCTGAAAAAAACTGCATTGATAACTGACCCCAGAAATGAGGGGAAAAAAGGTGCTTTCAGAACTCAACCCTCTCATTTCATAAGGTAAGCAAATTTGAGTAGGCACTTCAGTAAAAGGATTTAAAAAATGAGAGAAGACCCAGAAAAAAATGGGCAAAAAAACCTAAATAGGAACTTCACAAAAGAAATCCAAATGACTAGTAAAGGGAATGGAACCTCATTAGCAATCAGGGAAGTGCAAAGAAAAAAATAAAAAGAGTCAGGGTGGTGGCTCACTCCTGTAATTCCAGCACTTTGGGAGGCTGACACAGGAGGATGACTTGAAGCCAGGAGGTTGAGATCAGACCAACAAAGTGAGACCCTTTCTCTACGTACAAAAATTTTTTTTAAAATAAATAAATATTAAGCAGATTAGCAAAAAATTAGGAAGTCAGAAAATACTAAATGGTGGCAAAGACATGAACTGAATGAGGGTTTGATTACACTGTGAAGAGAGAAAATTGGTAAACCCCTTTGGAAACAGACATCATAAGCATATGCCACCACCCAATAATTTTACTTTTTATTCCTAGAGAAACCCTTGTATGTATGTATCAGAATTCATGTTCGGAGCAATGTCGTCTATAATAGTAACTAAACTGAAACCACTCAAAATCAGAGGTATAAAATGGACAAACAGTGATATGTGGATAAAATTAAATACTATATAGCAATGAAAATAAACAAGCTCCAGCTGCATGTAACAATGTGGACAAATTCATAAATTTATTAAGGAAAAGGAGCAAGAAGAAAAAGAATGCAAGCAGAATAATTCCATTATATAACATTCAAAAACAAATAAAATTAAATTTTACTGCTTAGAAATATGTTTATGTATGGTCAAACAATATCTAGAAAGCGGGAAAATTATTATCACAAGAGTATGCCAGTGATTACTTCTAGCAGAGTAGTTATCCTAGGGAAAGAGATATTATGATTGGAAAAGGACAGAGACTTCTGGAATGATGATGTTCTAATTTTTTTTATCTGGATAATAGTTAAAGACATAAGCTATAAAATTGTTCTTGAAATGGTACATAGGTTCCATACCCTTTTCTACAGATATTTCACATTTAAAAAAAAAAGAAATAAATAAACTTACCAATTTATTTTTATTTTTATTTTGAGTTGGAGTCTCACTCTGTCACCCAGACTGGAGTGCAGTGGCTGCTCCCGGCCACCGTAGCCTCGACCTGCTGGGCTCCAGCGATCCTTCACCCTCAGCCTTCCAAGTAGCTGGAACTACAGGCGCGCGCTACCACGCCTGGCTAATTTTTGATTTATTGTAGAGATGAGGTCTCGCCAAGTTGCCCAGGTGGGTCTCGAACCCGCGGGCTCAGGCAATCCACTCACCTCGGCCTCCCAAAGTGCTGAGATTACAGGCTGAGCCACCGAGCCCGGCCCTTACCAATTTTAAAATTCTACTGAAGGCTAAACCCTGCTTTTCCTCACAAATCAGATGTAAAACATAAATTTCTTAAGAAATGGGGTCTATATGGGAAGAATATCCCTTTAAGATTTAGTCCTGAATATTCTAAGGACTGGGGTGTACTGAGGATTTACTGCTGGATATTCTAAGAATTGGGTATACTGAGTTGGGACCCAGGAGCAAAGTTAACTACGCTTGGTCAATAGAAAATGTGTAGGAAGGTATTTTTGGTTATTCAAAACCATATATCCTCAAAGTTTACAGAGTATCTTGCTAGTGATTCCTCTTTTGGTATGTGATTTCCATTTAAAATACTCAGTTATTATTCCCAGAATTCCTCATACCAATAGTTAAACTTTTAAAAAAAGACTTTTTTCAATACTCAGATCAAAGGTATGTTTCTAGCATACGTTTCCATTTTTAAGGTTTATGCTTTATTGCTTTCGATTTCAATTCACATTTCTCCAGAAATGAAAATTGCTTAAAAAACTCTCTCACACACACACAACGAAAAATTTTGCCATTAAAAAATGAAATGTAACTCTGTTTTCACTTTATGTTTCATTTGCAATGCAGAATGGAAAAGCACTGGAAATTTGAAACTTGTGCCCAGAGTGAAAGTCTGGCAAGAATGAGCGTACAAAGAAATCACAGATAAGTGACAAAAGGCTTAAAAGGTAAACTGATAAAACTCAGTTATGGGATAGTCTTTTTTGTTTTTCTTGTTTAATTGTTTTTAAATAAATTGTGAAAAGCCACTCAAGGAATTTAACATGTAACTAAATTTTTAAAATTTTGTCATTAATTTTTTAACTTTTTCAAAACTCTCAAACTTTGCTTAGATGCAGTGAAGTATATTGCATCGGTGAATGTTTACACATGGAGTCCTCTTTCATATAGAACACTCTCTCAGTGTTCTTGGATAACTGATTCTAGAATTCCCTTGGATACTAAAATCCACAGATGTTTGGGTCCTTTATATAAAATGGTGTCGTATTTGCATATAACATATGCACATGCTCCCATACAGTGTAAATCATCTCTTGGTTACTTATAATACCTAATACAATAAAAGTGTTATGTAAATAGTTGTAATATTGTATTGGTTTTTGCTTGTATTATTTTTATTGTTGTATTGTTACTTATATTTTTTTCCAATTATTTTTGATTAATGGTGGTTGAATCCACAGATGCAGAACCCATAGATATGGAGGGTCAACTACATATATATATGTATATTTATTTTTAAATATACATTGCTTGAATCCAGGAGTTCAAGACCAGCCTGGGCAACATGATGAGACTTCATCTCTCCAAAAATTTGTTTAAATGAGGATGTGGTATATATTGCCCAGATGAAGATACAGAGTTAAAGCTAGATTTGAAAGTTTTATCAAAAAAGAAAACAAAGTCAACAGATTAAATCTACTGGCTCTTTTTTAATTTTTAAATTTTCTTTTCTTTTCTTTTTTTTTTTGAGTTGAAGTCTCACTGTGTGCTCAGGCTGAAGTGCAGTGGCATGATTACAGGTTACCACAGCCTCCTTAGTAGCTGGGATTACAGGTACATGCCACCACATCCAACTCATTTTATTTATTTATTTATTTATTTGAGTTGGAGTCTCACTCTGTCACCCAGGCTGGAGTACAGTGGCACATTAACGGCCACTCCAGAGTCGACCTGCTGGGCTCTAGTGATCCCTCCACCTCAGCCTCTCAAATTGCAGGAATATGCTACCACACCCAGCTGATTTTTTTTTTTAGTTGTAGGTCTCGCCAAGTTGTCCAAACTGGTCTCGAACCTGCAGGGTCAGGCAATTTACTCGTCTCAACCTCCCAAAGTGCTGGAATTACAGGCTGAGTCACTGAGCCCAGCTCATCCAGCTCATTTTTAAAAAAATTCTTGTAGAGATGAGGTCTCATTATGTTGCCCAGGTTAAGGCTAGTCTCAAACTCCTAGATTCAGGCATTCCTCTCACCTTGGTGCCTCAAACTGCTGGGATTACAGGCATGAGCCACTGGTCCTGGCTCTACTGGCCCTTTAAACCAAAAGGTCTTTTATTTTATTTACTTAAAATTGTACTTTCATACCTCAAATTCATCTTCAGTACCCTGAAGACTGCACCATCTGGCAATAGGTTCGAGAACTGCTTCCCAATCCTCACAGACTTGTTTAAGGATATTCAAAAATGTTGACTTTCCTGCACCTGTTGTGAGAGGAAAGGTAAAATTGAGGAAGACAATGTGTCAGAAAAAAAGCATGTTTTCAGATTTTACAAGGTTTATAACAGCAAAAATATAATAACACCCAAAGCATTCGATGTTCTAAACTTTCCCATTAGGGTTTTTTTTTAAATGAAAATTAAAAGGCTCCCTGCCCAATTACAATAAGCAAATTTTTTGTTATTATTTTTAGTTTAACAAAACCATAAAGCAGAGGAATTAAAAACTTGGTGAAATTTAAGCAAGATGTTATAGCAGAAAAAAAAATTCCACTCCCAGATTAACTTTCCTCAGTCAAGCAATTAGAGACAAATTTCTGGGAAGAGGCTAAAGCTATTCTACCATTTTACTAGGTGTGGATTTTAGGCAAGTCCTTGAACCTCTGAGTCTATTTCCTCATAATACAATGGAGATAATATTATTCTCCTCGTGGAAATTGTTCTGACAACACCTTTTACCACAGTGACAGTCATTCCAGATTCTTGCATTTTCAAAAATTTCTTCTCTACTAGCTCCATTCCCCCAGTCTACAAACAAGCTCAGTTCTCTTCCATCTAAAATCAATTAAGAAGCAACCAAATAATAAAATCAAATTAAAAAAAATTTTTTTTGAATCAGAGTCTCACTCTGTAGCCCAGGCTGGAGTGCAGTGGCACACTCATGGCCACATGGCCACCAGTCTTGACCTGTTGGGCTCAGGCAATCTTTCTGCCTCAGTCTTCCAAGTAGCTGGACCCACAGGCACATGCCACCACACCTGGATAATTTTTTGATTGGTTGTAGAGACAAGGTCTTGCCACATTGCCCAGACTGGTCTTGAACCCATGGGCTCACACAATCCTCTCGACTCCACCTCCCAAAGTGCTGGAATTACAGGCATGAGCCACCGCGACCACCTTATAAAATCAATATAAAGATGCATCTGGCCGGATGGTGGCTCACGCCTATAATCTCAGCACTTTGGAGGCCGAGGTGAGAGGATTGCCTGAGTCCATGGGCTCAAGACCAGCCTCAGCAACTTGGCAAGACCTCATCTCTACAACAAACCAAGAAAAATTAGCCAGGCATGATCTCATCTCTACATGCATTCCTGTAGTTCCAGATACTTGGAAGGCTGAGGCAGAAGGACCGCCTGAGCCCAGCAGGCTGCAGTGGCCATGAGTGCGCCACTGCACTCCTGCCTGGGCGACAGTGAGACTCCAACTCAAGAAAAAAAAAAAGAAGAAGATGCATCTGCCATGCCTAGGGTTTTAGAATGGGAAATAGTATGACTATTACTATATGACACAAATAGGCTTTATGACTAAAAGAAATTATAAAAACATTTTTGCATAGTACTTCCTACAAGTAATAGCCATGTTTTCTTTAAGTTTTCTGTTATACTATCATGGTTCGGTACACCATGTACTCTTTTAGACCCTTAAAAAAAAGCAAAAGTACTTTACTTTTCTTTGATTATTCACTATTTTCTGAGATATGCAGTGGGGGGGAGGAAAACAGTTCGTGTGTAATAAGAACATATTATGTTTATTATTTTAAAAAATACCCAGGAATACATTATATTTAATAGTAAAGACAGTCTTGACTTAAAATCTAACAGGGTGCAGCAATACTCCTAATGACCACCACACCCTTTATATCTGAAGTCACCAACTGTGGTTATATTACACATCTCTGGTCAGCATAATGTTCTCTCTCTCTTCCCCCCCCCCACACAAACATACAAATAACGTCACTACACTTACAAGCAAAGCTTCCTCTTCCTTATAAATTGGATCCAAGAGAGCAAAAATAATTTACCTTTAACTTGTAGAACTATATTCAAAACTAGGACATTATACAGGGCAATAGAAAATAAGAAAAAACTGGAAAAACTTTTTAAAATCACACATAGCAAAAAAAAAGGAAGAGGGCGGTAAAGAAAGTGACACAGAGTCAGTTGAGAAGCAAAACACAGAAGTCAGTCAGGCATGGTGGCTCATGCCTATAATCCCAGCACTTTGGGAAGCCAAGGCAGGAGGATCACTTGAGGCCAGGAGTTGAGACCAACCTGGGCAACATAGTGAAACCTCATCTCTACAAAAATATCAAAGAATTGGCCAGCTGTGACAGCATACAGATATTAAGTCCCAGTTACTCAGGAGGCTGAAGCAGATGGATCGCCTGAGTCCAGGAGGCTGAGCTGCTGTGAGCCATCATCATGTCACTGTACTCCAGTCTGGGCAATGAGACTCTGACTCAAAAAGATAATTAAGTTAAAGGTAATTCATTAATTATGCCAATGCTGTCATACAGAAATGCAGCCCAGTGTTACCAGATTCCTCATATTTTTCAAAAGGGACCAAGAATCTAGATGTTTGTAGGATATCTCAAACATTTTAAAAGCTAGGCACAAATTATAATTTTTTTCAACCAGTGCAAGCCAGGATGGTACAATTGTAGGCCATCAGCTCACAACTCCTTTCAGTGTAGGAAATGAGGAAGTCAGTAAAAAATTGTAACCAGGGGATAACACAGTGGCATTTGCATATAGGAAGACCCCACTGGAGTAGTGAAGAGAAACTGGAGATGGGGTGATACGTTAGGAAATTATTTCAGATGCTGGGAAGATTAAAGATGCTTGGGGGGAAGTGGGTTTCTAAATATGTGTTACTAACTGAATTTGAAAGAGGGAAGTGGAATTAATCTATTGTGGTATTCATCTGAAAGGCTGTTCATTCAAATTTACTTTTGAGATGGTTTTGTTCAACTACTTTCTCCTGTCTTTACATATATGGTCTTCTTTATCCATTAAGTAGCTATGAGGAATTGTACTAGCAAACATGCACCCTCAAAAAACATATACTGCTAAAAGGAAGTAAGGGTCCAATAATATAGTGCCTTAATACTGAAGCAATAAAATAAGAAGTCCTCTCTGAGTGTATGTTCTATTCTTTTGAATGGTTAAAGCATCCATTTGCCTTGCCCTTTTCAAGGAGGTACAACGTTTTGAATGTAGTATGAATTTTAAAACGTGTACTGTATGCATGAATGACCACCACCTGGAGCCAAAAGAAAAAAATGTCAATCAAGACAGGAAGTGTTAGCTAGAGGTTTCCTGTGTCAGGAAATACAGAAGAATCAGAAATTCATACGTATCTTGCAAAATGATAGGCATTGCATAACCTGCCCCCATCTGAGTTAAGAACAGTAATGTAGCTGGGCTCGGTGGCTCAGCCTGTAATCCCGCGCCTTTGGAAGGCTGAGGTGAGTGGATTGCCTGAGCCCGTGGGTTCGAGACCCGCCTGGGCAGCAAGACCTCATCTCTACAATAAATCAAAAAATCAGCTGGGCGTGGTAGCGCATGCCTGTAATTCCAGCTACTTGGAAGGCTGAGGCGGAAGGATCGCCTGAGCCCAGCAGGTCAAGGCTGCGGTGGCCGGAAGCGGCCACTGCACTCCAGTCTGGGTGACAGAGTGAGACTCCAACTCAAAAAAAAAAAACCAAAAAAACAAAAAAAAGAACAGTAATGTAGCTGGGCGTTGTGGACCACAGCTATATAGTACCAGCTACTTGGGAGGCTGAGGCAGGAGGATCGCAGGAGTACAGGAGTTCCAGGCTGCAGTGAGCTGTGAAGGAGCCACTACATTCCAGCCTGAGGAACAGAGTAAGATCCTAACTCAAAAAAAGAAAACCCCAAAGCAGGCAGTTTCTTTCACCTGTGACAGCTCTGGCATGTCACTCTTTTTTCTCTCTTCTCTAATAAACATCGTTTAAAAACTTAGAAAAAAAAAGAGCAGAAACATGAGTAGTCTTTTGTGAGAAATAAGAATGGTGATTTATTATCAGATTGGAGCCTAGCTTATCTTGGGTTCTCAAGATGGTGTCTACATGCTTTGTGCTTCTCTTTTGTTGATTCACTTCCTCCTTCTTTGTTTCCTTTTTGCAGGTTTTTTACTTTGGTGGGCTTCATGTTTAAACTTTTGGCAGGATCCAAACAGAATGATTCTGTAAGTCAATCAGCAAATAGGAAATGCAAATGAAATGATTCTGTAAGCCAGTCAAAATGTGTCAGGTAGACAGCATATGAGAAAGCCTGTAACTTCGGCAGTACTCCTCCAATAAGGAACCAGGAGAAGGACCTGTGTTTTAGGTATAAAAGTGCTGGTTCTAGCTGGACTCGGTGGCTCAGCCTGTAATCCCAGCACTTTGGGAGGCTGAGGTGAGTGGATTGTCTGAGCCCGTGGGTTCAAGACCCATCTGGGCAACCTGGCGAGACCTAATCTCTACAATAAATCAAATAAAAATTAGCCAGCTGTGGTAGTGCGTGCTTGTAGTTCCAGCTACTGGAAGGCTGAGGCAGATGGATAGACAGAGCCCAGCAGGCCGAGGCTGCAGTGGCCACTGCACTCCAGTTTGGTTGACAGAGTGAGACTCCAACTCAAAAAAAAAAAAAAAAGTGCTGGCTCTTCCTGCTCCCATGTGCCTGCCGACCAAACACCTGCCCAATCTTGCAAGACTATCATTAAAGTCTCGCTTCTGCTGCACTCTACATCTCTGTGTCCATCCTGTGATTTTGGACAGGTTAATTCATTTCTCACAATTTGGGGGCTCATCCGGGATACTCTGCATCTGTGGGAGGGGGACTCCAGCAGAAGGGAAGACACGTCCCACCTGACTTCAGGTGGCCTACTCTGCTTGGGTGTCTTCACTACTCATGGGACTACAGATATGCCTGAGACTATTGTTCCAAAGGCAGTAAAAGTGACACAGAAAAAAGGGAAGCAGGCACCAAGGCAACCAGGCAACCTCTTGCATGAGCCAAGGTAGGAAAAATTGGACTATAAGTACTGCCTTGGTGGTTGGGGCATTCTAAGAGGTTGAGTGTGTGTGTGTGACTAAGACATATCACAGATATAAAGCGAGTCCCAATCCGCGGTTCCGTCTTCCCAGAGAGAAACCACTGGAGGTGGATGAAGTGATTCAGAGTGTGCAAGAAACCCCC